GTTCACGTTTGTGTATATCCTGCTTTTTTAGACTTGCCATAGAAAGGACAAGAACATTCAGAACTGGTGTCCTGGAACAGCAGATGAAATAAAACTCACATATTATATGAGGATATTAAAATAAAGCTGATACAACCAGAGATGAGGGACTTTACTTACATGGAGCAATTAGAGAAGCTGATTTAATGGAGCTGTTTAAAATTATACAGCATTTTTATCGAGTAAATAGGGACAAACTGTTTCTACAGCAGATGAATTCCTAACCAGAGGATAGAGATATCAGATTAAAGAACCAGATAGGAGATGAAGAGAACCGAAAGAACTGTGGATGCTGTAAATCAAAATCAAAAACAGAGGTTGCTGGAAAACTCAGCAGGTCTAGCAGCATCTGTGAAGAGAAACCAGAGTTAATGTTTCGGGTCTGGTGGCTTTTTCTTAGAACTGAGGTGGTCACTGAGGAATGTGATGCAGCTGTGGAAACGAGTTTTAGCATATTGCTGGTCAAACACCAGAAGTGTCAGTGAAATTAATGTCGGTGGACAAGGAAAAAGATTGAAATGGAAATCCCATCAGAGAGAAGAGCAGAACTTCTTTAAGCTGTTCTGAGGAAGGCTCACCAGACCCGAAATGTTAACTCTGATTTCTCTTCAGGAGATGAAGAGAATTATTTTTACACAATGAGTTATGACCAAGAAGGCACCACTTGAAATGGTGGCACAAGCTGATTCATGAGTAACTTTCAAATACCAACAAAATAAATAGGATTAGAAGAAAATATTTGCAAGCCTATGGTGAATCTGTGTAGCAGAGGGACTGATTGAATAGCCCTTTCGAAAGGGTCAGCAGAGAAACAATGGAGCAAATGGTTTCCTTCTGTGCTATGTGCCGCTAATTGAAGTCCTCATTACTACTATTCATATTATACTATTATACTATTATATCATAAAAGAAGATGATTGTGATTGTTGGAGAAAAAGAACTCATCCGTAAGACATAACAGGAGTTTGTAAGCGTAGAGTCCTAGGCTAAACCATCTTTAGATGTTTCATCAATTACCATCTCTCCATCATAAGGTCAGATGTGAGGATGTTCTAGTTCCTACATTTTAGTCCACCTACTAGTTGCCCTTTGATTTATGTAGTACCATGCCTTGGAATTATATTACCGTTCCTTCACTGTTGCTGGGTCAAAATTCTGGAAGTCCCTTCCCAGCAGCACTGTGGGTGTCTCTGCACCAGATTGGCAGCAAATGTTCCACTAATCAACTCAACACCACCATCTAGGTGCCAGTCCTCAGCAGTTTGACGGGCCCCCGGTCCTCAGTGGTTTTGGCAGGCTCCAGGTCCTCAGCAGTTTTGACAGACCCCAGTCCTTGCCGGCTTCGACGGTCCCTGTCCTCAACAGGCTGCCGGTTCTGGGCAGTTTTGAGAGGCTCCTGGTCATCAGCAGTTGGACAGGCCCCCATCTTTGGCAGTGGCCGGTTCGTGAAACCAAGAGGCCATGGAATGAAGAAAAATGATATTTGTCTATCCATCTTCGAGGGTAATTAGGGATGGGCAACAAAGGTGGGCTTAGCCAGTGATATCACATCTCAAAAAAAGGGTTTTAGCAAAATTATTTCCCTTATAAAGAACACTGGAGAACCACAGTAAGCTATCAGCCAAACTATATCATTTCAATTAGCAACACATATCAAAATATCAGTGCCCTGTCTTTCTCAGCCTACTTTGCTGCAGCATGTTTCTGGCCTGTTATTGCAATCAATGAGGTTACCATGTGGTCCAGCTAGTGGCAATTTATTCCAAACTGTTTCTAGTGGGCAGAATGCCGATGATTCATATGACATACGCACAAATATCTCTCTCGCATTGATCAATGGAATCTATATAATATGTTGCTTCTTGAGGAGTGTAATACCGTGAATGCGCAATGCTAAAGTGCAGCAATGATCGACAGTTCGAGGGTAATAAGTTGAAGTTTTAAGTAAATGCAGGCCCAAATAAATTAAGAATTTAATTGTTAACTGTTTGGAAAACTTTGCCGATTGGTATGTGCTCCTCAGTTTCAGGCTGCGACTTAAAAATATCAAATCACAGAATCCCTACAGTATGGAAACAGGCCCTTTGGCCCAACAAGTCCACAACCAACCCTCAGAGCATCTCACACAGACCCATCCCCCTACAACCCACTTAATCTACACATCCCTGAACACTTTGGGCAATTTCCCATGGCCAATCCACCTAGCCTGCACATCTTTGGACTGTGGGAGGAAACCGGAGCAGACACGGGGAGAATGTGCAAACTCCACACAGACAGTCACCCAAGGGTGGATTTCAACCTGGGTCTCTGGTGCTGTGAGGCAACAGTGCTAATCACTGATCCATCATGCCACCATATTGCATGGGTAACAAGATACAACATCTGGAGGACGATGCATGCATTCAAGTGTAGTGCTATAGGGCTCTTTTTTTCAATTTTGCTGTTACAGAACAAATTAATATATTTACAACTATTGTGAAAATGCACCTGAGGTTTGTAAACGCCCCAATCTTACGGACAGCACTTCATTTAATTTATAAGACAACACAAAATGCTGTTCATATACAACATCTGCTGAGTCACAAGCACTGACCCAAGATTCAGTGGATGTTAACCCTGAAGCTGCTAATCAACTGTGCCAAAAGCAAAGCGTGTAGCATTCTCACAGACAATAATTCTAAATCAGGCTGCAATATTGTAATAGCAAAAATCACAAAGGTTACTAGTGCAGGGCTGAATAGATTCCGGGATAACAATATGCAGCCGATTCAATCAACAGAGACATCTGCAACAGATAACACTTTGCACGGGCAGTCCCTGAGTTGCGAACAGGTCCCCTTTTGGAGGCCAGTTGCAAGTCGATTCATACGCAAGTCGGAACACAGTGCAGGATGATGTAAAGCAGTTGCTCATACGTACAGGAAATGTTCATATGTTGGCTCTTTAAAACGACAATCACTTCTGGGAAACATGTTAGTAAGTCAGATGTTTATAAATCAGGGACTCTTTGTAGATCTTAGCTCATTAAAGTGCCTCCATAACAACATGACAAGTAGCTCATTATTATATTTGCAGATTGATTAGTTCAAAGTTTGGCACATCAATTGGTCACATTGTCAAAAATGCACAGAAACTATGTTTTTTAAAAAAATACTTTTTAAGAAAAATCATTATTGTTTTGGTTCAAACTCTGGGTAGAAATGTTGATTCTAGCTCAATATATTTCTCCACCAGCCAGTGAGGAATCTCACCTTAGCCATTTTCTTCATGGCTTAGTATCCAGTATGATATATTCTAGAAGAGAGAAAAGTTGTCAAAAGATGTGTAGTAATGATTTAGCCAACGATAGATTCTCTGCTTATTTCTCCACACCTCATGGTCTCTTCAGTTGCTCACTGGGACCTCACATTTTTAATTTTCATTTCTTTAACATCTTCATTCACTTTCTGCCTCTTGGGTCTTCATCCTTGCAAACACCTTTTTCAACAATTTCTCATGCCTTATGAAATGGTCATTCTGACCATGTTGTATTCTTGTGATGATATTCACTAAATAGCTTTCCTCCACTGAGCCATTCTGACAAATTCTTCATTGCTCGCGTGTTCTTTCCAACTGACATGCTTCACCCTTCTCCAGAGCCATGTGTCACAATTTTCTAGTCTTTGAATGTCTGCTTTTTTTCAATTTCCATGTTTCAGCTCTGTATAAGACATGCCAAATCACAGACTTGATCATTCTTCTTTACTCGTCCCATGGTTGAGCAATTTGTTATAATTAGTGGATGCATTGTTTGTCATTGTTTTTTAGTGCATTTCTTAATGGCTGTGATCACCTTCTTAAAAGATGTTTCCCGAGTGTTTAAATTGCAATGGGCAGGGTAAAGAAGTTGACCATTTATCATGAGCTCTGTTTCCCCACGATCGTTTGCTCCAGTCTTCATAACTTTTGTATTTCAACATAGTTTTCATTTTGTAAGCTTTTACCGCTTCTTTAATTTGATCTATTAGGAATCTGCTGATCTTCTGCTGCTCTAGCTACCAGAGTCCTGGCATCTGCAGATCTCACTATCTTTACCAATTGACCTACATTAACACCTTCCTGTACTGCATCTAGTATGCCTTCTTAATCATGGATTCTGTAAAGATATCAAAAAGCAATAGTGCTGGAACAGAGCCTTACCTCAGCCCATTTCCAATTTCACCAGATTCGTTTTCACCAAATGCTGTCCTGATTGGAACAATCTGTCCCATGTGCAAAGCTACAATCGTGCTTTAATCAATTCAGTCAACTCTGATCACGGCTTTTGCCAAGTAATACAGGAAACAAATTCAACAACAGAGGATCTGATCCTGCATCTCATTGCCACTTGTGGGTCCTTGCTGTTAGCTCCTGTGTTTCGCTTACAACAGTGATTACATTTCTAAGGTACTTCTCTGGCCATGAGACATTTGGAAATTTCCTGAAATGAGGTGAGTGAAAGGCACTATTTAAATGCATGCGCTGTTTCTTTTAACATTGCTGGACTTTCAGAACAAAAAAGACCGCACTTTAAATGTTCCGACAGCAGAACGAGTCTTAACATTTTCTTCCATTTGTGCATACCGAGACGTGAAGTCCTTTGTTCATAATTACAAACTACTTGTTTACCCATGTAGTTTTCCTCCCACAGTAATCTTCTCAGAAATGGATATGTTTTAAGGACAAAACACTATCCAGTTTTAAATAACAGTGGTCAACAATAGATTAAAGGAATATACTGTTCTCTTTTTGATTTGAAGTTTGTACACACACTCATGAGCATCATCCTAGTCAAGTAAATACCTGAGTCATCTTATGATGACAGGGGTTCTCAGAATACATTCTCTGTTTGATGGCTGTCTGTTACTTTTACAGAAATTAGTTCTGGAGATATGAAGCTTTGAACTTTTTTTGTCAAAGGCACAAAAGACTATGACTACTAATTGTTTAAACATCATCAAAATTTTATTGCAATACAATTAACTCATTGGCAGATATTCCTGCTTATAATCAGGTCTCAGTTATCATGTTTCAGCGAAGTCATTTTGCATTCATGAAACATTGGAATGTGATAGTCCACCACATATTTAGTTTTGTAAACTTAATATAAATAAAATTCATACTGATTACCGATTAGTAGATGAGTCAGATTTTAGAATACACTGTTCATACACTTGTTCACAAGATTAGTGGACTATATTTTAACCAAATATTTGAATCTGAGTCAATGATCACCATGTATTATTCTTAAATATACAAAATAGATCCATAAGCCTATCAAACATAAGTGACAGATGAATAAAATGGGCAAGGTACCAACTTAACATCTCCAGAATTGAAGTCAATCTGATTAGTTCTTGCAAACATTCTGTACCAGCATCTCCAATCTCACCTCTTTTTCTCTGCAGCTTCTCACTTACACAAATCCTGATGGACTAATCTCAGTTTTCTGCTTAGTCTCGAATCCCATATTCAAGTTAATACCAAACTGCATATTTCCACGTCTGACCTTGTCTCACTCTGACTCCTGCTGAAAATCCCAATTCATCCCTTGCTGCCTCAAGTCTTTTCTATTCAATGTTCTCCTCACCAAACTTCCAAATTCCCACCTTACATGAACTAGAACTTATCCACAGGTTTGCACCCACATCTTCTTGTGCATTGAATCCCACTTCACTAACTACAATGACCCATTTGTCAGACATCAAATTCAAAATCTTTGACCTCTTTTACATCTTCTTGACAGATTAAACTCATTCATGAACAAGGATTTTATTTTCAACTGTCAGCTATAGAGGGTCTTAAATAAAAAATAAGACTGCTAAGCACTTTAAAACTAAAATCTATGTAAAATCGAAGTCAACTCTTCAGTGGAATGTTAATATTAGTAAACCAACAACATGAAAAATTCAACAAGAATAACTATATGCTGAAAGCTACATATATTTCCTAATGAAACAAACATGTATACAGTGGATGTTTGTTTTTAATATACATAGGGGACCAATGGACAGCATTTAAATTGCAAAATATCTCATACATCAGCAGACAATGTAGCATCTTGAGCTCACCTATAATTTTTTAGGGATGAAATCAGGTTTGCATCAAATAAATGGGAAAATATTATTTCTTTGTCTCTGCAAATTCTTGACTGCAACATCTCTGAAATGTAAAAGCGGGCAGAGACCTGTTACATACACCAAGCATTCCCTCTTCCTCTTCCTGCATTAAAACACTATGCCTGTGCCTTGTATGGTTCAGTGGAGAAGGACTCAGACTAGGATCCTCCCACAATATGGCGCTGTGAGTCAGTACTTTAACATACAGAATTAATATATTAACACACAGCATGACCATGCTACCCAAGTCTTGATTTTTGTAATCAGAGCTGTCTGAGAAAAATGATTACATAAGATAATGTTGTAAAACATTTGATTTTAGTTCAAAATAATGCACACCTGAGATTTTATCAGAAAATCTTTCCAGGCATCATGGCAAATAATACTAACCTGTGACCTTAAGTTGTAAGTTATATTTATAAGTCTTGTTTTGGGATAGGATGGAATTTCAGTGCCCCAGAAGTTTAATTCTGGTCCTGAATAACGTACTGTAAATCAACAATTAAATTCGCTGTTTCTACAGCTACTTGCAATGCATTAAGTTTCACAGAATAAGAGTCCAATACTAATTGATCTGGGAGATACTCAGTAGGTCTCTCAAGGGGCAATTCTAGGCTTATTATTGCCACCCCATTACCTGGAACAATCCAGTTTAGATTTGGTTCCGCTGTGTATAAACGGCAAGCACATCTAGAAAATACTTCTGACCAGTCTGTGTGCAGAGGCATCTTGGGCAGAACTGACCAACGATGGGAATACTTAGTATCAATGAAGTTCTCACCACCATCATGTTCCAGTGAAGAGGCAGTACGCTGCAATGAGTGGCAGAAACTGTCAGCAACAATTCTGTATTCAGATCGAGAGCAGCCCAACTCCACTAATGCTTCGTCAGTCACACTTTGACTCTATGAAAAGAGTTACGTTTAGAAACTGCTCCACAATCTTCTACTAATTCATCACCAGCATATTTAAACATGCAATTTCTTAACTAGTGAAAATTAACTTGATTTCACTATCGTTTAGTAATATATATACCAAATTAAAGTAAATGTATCGCTTGTTTTCACAGATGTTCACAACTTTGATGGCAGCAAATTTACTACACTAGTGAGCAAAACTTCTAAATTTTCAGATTATAAAAATTTGTGTGAATATTTTGCCCTACTTCTATTACATCATATTACACTCTGCATTTCTATAATTATAAAACAAGGCAAAATTCAACACACAATTTAGACCATTTTTGATTGAAATGAACATAAACATACAGAAAACATACATGTTACCAACAAATCAAGTAAAAAGAATCCAGTTTAAGATCTGTAAAATGGCTTTCAGCAATTCTAGCTTATACTTATTATCCATAACTGCTCAAAATAATAATGAATTAGATAAAAAAAAATTGCAAAGAAACCTAATAAAGGGTTCAAAAGATAGCCAACCCTGTGAGGGAAGTTTGAATGTTTTGTCATCTGAATCATGAGATCAAATTATTTTCTTTGCGCCCCCTTTGTTATTTTTGAATTGAGTTCATGTTTCTTTTGTTCATGTTTGCATTTATTTTTCCCTTGGTAGCAGGTATCATGGAACATACTGACAACCAAAGTGGCCTATGCAGTTAATGTGCAATGATAGCCACATTAAAGCATTCAAGTTGTAAGACAAGCAATTTTTCCATTACTTCATGTATATAAGTCTGCACATATGAGGAGTCAAGGCCAATTTTATGTTTTCAGCTCAAGATTAGAGTGACTAGTACAACGCTGGGAATGAAATGAAGACAGAAGAAAAGGAAAAATGTGTGAGGTGGATAGACAGCGGTGACAGTAAGATGGAGAGGTGAGCGAAGAGAGACAGGATGGGGGAGAGATGGGTGTTGGAGAGGGTAAGTGAGGGAGGAAGAGGGGAATGGAAGATGAGTTGGAGCAGACAAGAAGAACGGCAGAGATAGTAGGAACTGCAGATGCTGGTGAATCCGAGACAACAAGGTGCAGGGCTGGATGAACACAGCAGGCCAAGCAGCATCATAGGAGCAGAGAGGCTGACGTTTCGGGCCTAGGCCCTTCATCAGAAAAGAACGGCAGTGTGCTTTATGTGAGGAGATAGTGGAATATTGGCAATATACTAGGAATACAGAGGCCTATGCTAATGCTTTGAATAGACAAATACAAATCACACCACAACAGCTGGTGAAATTCAAAGTCAGTTAAGTAAATTTAGAATTGAAAGCTAGTCTCATTGAAGGTGTTATGATTGAGATGGGAGAAGTATAATGTCTTTCTTTAGTAGCACTACTCCTTGGGCCTGCTATATAAATTTAACTGGTTCACCTGGTTCCTGATATGGTCAATTGTATGCTTTTCTATATTAGTCTTAGAACAACAAGGTTCAACAGATTTGTTTTAAATAAATGCAGTTTTTTTTTCAGTAATAGAACTTATTAAATGAAGGTGCAAAATTGGTTCGTGACATCACAATATAAACATTTACCCCTCTGAATAACCCAAAACACACACACAAATGTACACTGGGTAAAGGGGAGGGGGTGAGGGGAGAAAGCATATTTTCTCTGCAGGGATTCACTTTAGGCAGAAAACACTTTTAGCCAATAAGTCATAGTTCTGGAAGGCAAAAATAGGATAAGACTTAAGATTTTCAGATGGCTGTCAGACTGATTTTCTGGCATGTGTAGGTGGATGTCACCAAATGTAAGCAGTTGGCCCTGGAATTTTGACAGATGCACCTTGCTAAGGAAACACAGTACCAGGAAGTCTTCCAAACACTCTCAAGGTGTAAACAGAATTCACATTGGATTCATCACAAAGATGCTTCAAAAACAGACAATGTGAGCTGACCAACTTGTTCATTTGCAGGCTTCTCCAGCTGAAAACCAAAACCACCTTCAAGCCTGCAAGACACTGTTTCAACAGAACAACCAGAAAACCTAGTGGTAAAAATGGTGAGATGTCCTTACTGATGTGAGCTCAAGCAACAAAGATCAGCATAATCCGGAATGATGTGGTTACCAAGAAATGCTTTGCTGAAAAACAAAACTATCCTTTCAATGTCCCCTTCAAATAAAAAGCCTAGATAACTCCACAACTCTTTAAGATCAAATTCACAAAAATTACTAAATATGAAGCTATAATAACAATGAGGACCATTAAACTATCATCAATTGGTGTAAAAACCTATCCGGTTCATTAACGTCCTCTAGAAATAAAAAAATCTGCCACCCTTTTCTGATCTTGTCCTTTATGTGATTTCACATTCACATAATATAGTTGACTCTTAAATTCCCGCTGAAATGGCCTAACAAGCCCTCAGTTCAAGGACAATTAGGGATGGGCAACAAATGCTGGCCTTGCTAGTGATGACTACATCCCATGAAAGAATAAAGAAAGTGCTGCAGGAGAAAGGAACAGAGTAGGAAAAGTTGGGTGGAGACACTGTGTAAAGAGAAAAGGAAAGTAAGAATTGGAGAGGGTAGAACAAGAATGAAAGAAGAGAAAAAAGAAAGGAAGGAGAGAGTGAAAGGGAATAGAGCAAAAGGGCAGAGGAGGAGCTGCTGTTCACTAGGACTGGGTGAAGTGCCTAATACTATGACTCAGTGATGGTCTTGTAATCATGTAATCATCATGTAATATCAGTTGGTGCTTGATCATTCCATAATGTTGCACTTTTAGTATTTTCTACAGATACAGTATCTTTGGACCGTGACGTATTTTATTATTTTCATGCATTGTTGATATATTGATAAATTACTCATTCTGTAGCAGATGGGAAGTCAACACCAAATGTATGTTAGGATGAAGCGAAGGGCAAGGCAGGTATGCATAATTCACAAATTTTGAGGCAATACACATTATGTTCCACAATTTTAAATTGTTTGTTGAGTCATGTTATTAATTTTACCTAAACGACATTTACAATAATTTCGGCAACTGAGCAATTACATTGTATGCAGCACAAGGCTCTTCTGCAGCACTAACCAAAGAACTGGGAGCTAGAACATCAAGGTGCTGCAATGCCACCATTGATGGGAATGTATAATTACAAAGTGACAAGTTTATATAGGCAGATTCCATTCTTACTGTGGATGGTAGAATTTATAATCAAGGAAAATGGGCATTGTAAATGCATTTATTCTTTTTTTTTTCTCCAGTTTGTCATTTGTCTCATGAGAGAGGAGACAAAAATTCTTTATTGCATTCATTACAAGTTCTTATATATATAATAAAATTTCTATAGATCAACCTTAACTGAAAAAAGATAATTTTTTTAGATCTGACCAATAAAGAACACACCTTATGTCCAACATAAGTCGCCAGATGTAATTCAGTACAGCCTCCTCCTAGTACAGCTAAAGGCTCTTTGAGTGTAAGTTGCAACACATGTTCTGCAGATTGACAGACAAGCTACAAGATACAGATAGATAAAAATAACAAAGAATGCTTGTAAGTTGAAGTGGAAAATTCTGACACAACTAGCATTTTCATTGCCAATGTATTCAGTTGCATACGTTTGTAGGAACAGATAATGTTACCATTAGAGATAACAATTCAAACATTATTTGCAAGTATACATTTTCTAAATAAAAAGACTATAGATGCGTGAAAAAAAACCCTTGAAACATACTGTAAATAGAAATATTTCTAATGGAATGAGACATGGTCGTTTTGAATTGAGTCCTGCATGCCACTTTATCTGTTACAAAATCATTACTCGAACACTAGTAAGGTTTAAAAGGATCAATGGCTGGGCTAATTCTTCTTTAAATTCCTTGCTGTTGCATTGTAGAGAAACACTGTACAAGTTATTAAAAAGCAAAATACTGTGGATGCTGGAAATCTGAAAAGAAAAAACATACTGGAGAAACTCAGCAGTTCTGGCGGCATTTATGGACAGAAGGAGAGTTAATGTTTTAAATCCAATAATGACCCTTCTTTGGAATTGTGCAAGTTATAAGATCCCATTTTCATTCTTTAGAATCCAATGAATTAGATTTCATGATGTGCAAACACCAGATGTAGAGAAACAAAAACAAAACTGACCTTGAGAAACTGGTGAATCAGATTTTATTTCCCAAATGTTTCTAACTATTTGTTTTAGTATCTTTAGCCATTTTCATTGGGAGGAGCAACTAGTCCTTTTGTGCATTGCTTTTTTGGTAATATTACATTATTATTGCATTCAAGTTTGTTTTAGAAAGTTTTGTAAATCAATTTATTTCACATATGAACACAATAAATTAGATACCTTACAAATCAAAAATCTCCCCAACTTTTCACAATGCAACTTCAGAGGGTAACCAGCAACAATAGTCTCTCCTTCCCAGAATTTACTTCATAAAAGGAGCAAAACAACAAGTTTTCTGCATGAAATTAAGTGGTACATAGGGTGCTTGCGCTGGTGTTAGCAAACGCAGCCTTTCTTTATAGTGAAATAATACATTTATTTTTGTGTCCCTACAGTACATATGAGTTTGCAGACCTGTGACAGGAATTTGCTTGCGAGTGGAAAAAAGTTGAATTGTTGAAAAAAAGACCCTTTAATATTAAATCTTTCCACAGCCTTCTAAGATAGAACTTCAAGCTTCCTTTAAGAATTAATTCCCAAAAGATATTTCCTGAATTAGGTGGTAGCTTTTTTCACAAGCTAACAATGCAGAATGAGAAAACTTTTCTTGAATTCCAGTTTTGTAGAAGTTCCATAATGTAAAAGCAATTTTCTTATCCTGGTTAAATTAAAACTATTAGTTTCACTTCATTTGCTCTTCTTTAAAATAAACAATTCCTAGTTCCTATCCTTGAGAAGAGAATAACCTTTGTCCTCTTATCTTGTCTTCATAGTTCAATGATTCAAAATGTCATTGTGTCCCCCTAGTCCTTTCTAATGCATCAATGCTTCTTAGATCTGGTGACCAATACTGCAAACAATAGTGTAAGCACTGTTTTGTGCAGTGCTTAATAAACTTCCTTAGAATTTTATGATTTTATCAATATAGTTGAATATTCACACTTTAGATGTTTTCAAAGTTAATAGTTTATAAGGAATTTCAACTTCTTTTATGCTTCGAATATCATGAAACTTATTACTGCCTAAATTGCTACTGAATTTTCTTTCTGACTAAAACCAGTTCATTGCAATAATGAATGCTAAACACCATTTGCTGATTATTAGCCCATGTAATGAGTGCTTCTGGATCCCTTTGACTATCTGACTCTACTAACATTCTGCTGTTGTACACTTTTCTGTGCCATCAGCAAATTTAGGAATTCTACTTCTAATCCTCTAATCTAGCTCATTTGTAGTCTGTGAAAAGTAGAGACCTAGTGACTGGGTCTGCGGCATTGTCCACTAGACATCTCCCAGTTCAAATAACACACATTTATAATTACTCTGAGTTTCCTGTTGTCTAACCAGTTTTTCATTCACTAGTTCCACCAGTCCTTAGGACCCTTTATCAAATGGCTTTTGAAAACCAAGAAGCTTATTTTCACAGGATGCCACAGACTCCAAGGGGGGCACATAGGTTTGTGAGAGATTTAACATAAAGGTTTGGAGGGAACTATACCCCTGAGAGATTATCTTGTTTTCCAGAACCCTTATTGTGAGTCTTAAACCCTATTGAGTAACCTCCAATTGTGGAATTAAAAGTTCTATTTATAATTTCTACCCTGAGAGGAATTCTATACAATCAGAATCTATCGATTTTTGTCAACATCCCAGATATTTTAGAATCACAGGCTCAAAAGGTCCTTCTTGAAGGGCTAACATCAGGTAAAGAAAAAACCCTCACATCTACTAAAATGTACAGTTTAGAGTTCAAACACCTCTTAATATGCACAGGAAGATTATGTTTTTTAGTTAACAATCTGCAAGTTAAATTGCCAGAGTGATGAGTTGCAAATGAGATTTTGATAATTTTCATTCACCCACTGGGCAAACCACAAGAATTATTTCTGCCAACTGTAAACTGGTGGGTACTCTTTCTAAGAGTTGAGAAATCTGTCATTAACTAAATTAATTCTGTAATCTTGCTCCTTTAGTATAATTCCTTTGTGGCAAAGTGTGATCTGTTTTGTTGAGCATGCTTTACTCTGTTCAGCCACAAGTGTCAAGTTCTAAAAAAAACTTGAAGCAGTTAGTAATCAATACAATAATTTTATGCAGTTCCATTCTTTGGTGCGTGGATGATTTTTAATAGGACAAGGAAACAAATGACTGGAACAACTGTAGGCCTAGCAGTCTTGCTTGAACTCATTGCTTAAACAATGTCCTGGAATTCTTCCCATTAATGGTTTTATGAACCTTAGTGAAATTTTTGCCTCAAACCATATCATTCAGAACAGTTTGACACATCAACCATTAGTTTAATAAGGAGAAGGCATCTTCAAGCATATTACAAAAAATTTTGACAGAAATTATTTTTAAATTTAAAATTGTTAACCAATGAGCTTGGTCAACAAACTTTACATTGATATAAAAGTTGAAACAGATACATTGCCACACTGAACTTTCTTTCACAATGATAAGAGCATCAAATAATGAAACAGTATGTAAAAAGTAACTACAGGATTACACAGTAGCGCTACATAAATGTTGAAAAATACTATTTTCAATGGCAATATCTTATATTGTTTAAAGTAACTATTATTAGAAGGATGCAATCTTTGCCTAGGTGACCTATTGGGAAGAAATAAAAATACTTCCATTGATCACCTTTCTTGATCACTGAACATCTCAAAGTGCTTTACAGTGGTGAAATACAAATAGTCTTGAAGTTTGTCTGCGTGCAGGATTTTGATGCTGAAAATCCCAATTTCCCCTTTTTTGTCTATTATCCTGCCTCAGCTGCCACTGCTGTTTTCATCCAAATTGTGGACACAGCCTCAACAGTTTGTTTTCTTATATAATCAAGAAAATAGAACGATATCAACAAAGCTGATTTTTCAGCTTCAAATGAAGTGTGATTCTGATGCAGTTGCCATTTACAGGTTTTGTCATTGATGTTACTTTGAAAGATAATGAAAAATCACTGTTTTAGACTGAGGGGGTAGCACACTCAATACAAAAATACAACATGCAGATCATTTAACCTACCTTCAGCTCATTCACTCCAGCTTCACTTCGATTGCATAGTAACAAACTACACACAGGCTTATTCTCATTTGGAATCAGATGTAGGAATTGCTTGAAACCAAACTTCACGATGCACAGGTTCTTAACAATGCCATAGCAGTCAGGGGGAATAGGATGATAATATGAACTAATGGATTGTGCACCTAGTAAATTAAAAATGGCCAAAAATTACAAAATTGTAGGCATTATGAAGGAGCAGAATAATCTATGACCCAAATGCACATAAAATTTGGAAAAATTTAACAACAGTCCATTACAAATTAACATTTCAGATACTGCAGTACATCAATAAAAATTGCTGAGTCAAACATAAACTAATGGAACGTGTTAAGCTGTTACACTTGCTCAAGTGTGAAAGTTTGATGGTCAAACAACTGAAGAATGAATAAACAATTTGCCAGAGCAAGTGTCCTATTAAATTAAACCTTCAGAAAAAACACAATCTCTTATTAATAATATTACAATTCAACGATTGAATCTTACTAGCACAGAAGGAAGCCATTCATCCCATCATGCCTGTGCCATCTCTTTAAAATTAGATTCTCTCTTTTTAGCAGTGTTTATTCAGCAGATAAGAATGAAATGTAAAATGTATTTGTAATGCTTGTTGTATAACAACCTTTTGAAATGTTGGAATTTGATCAACTATTTGTGATTCTGATGTACCTGCCATTTATAAATTTCACAATAGATTCTACTTGTGCTGTTCGACAGACATAAAAATTTTCTGCATTGTACTAAGAGGATGGAGCTTCCACCAGGAAAATCATATTACTCAGGCATGGGAATCACCTAACCTACCTTCAGTTCATTCACTCCAGCTTGACTTTGATTTCATAGAGGCAAAGTACACACATGCTTGTTCTCTTTAGGAATCAGATGTAAAAATTGCTGGAAACCAAATTTCACATCACACAAAAGTTGTGGACTAGTATGGATTGAGAATTGGTTGATAGACAGAAAACGAAGTAGGAATAAACAGGCCATTCTTAGGACAATAAGGTCTTACTACTGGGCTGCCTCAAGGATTAGTGCCAGGGGCACAGCTGTACACAGTCGATATAAATGATTTGCTTACAGGGACGAAGCGTAATATTTCCAAATTTGCCGATGACACATAACTAGATTGAAATGTATGTCTGAGGAAGATGCAAGTAGGCTTCAAGCAGGTTTGGTGAGGTTAAGTGAATGGACAAGAACATGGCTAATGGAATTTAAGGTGAATAAGTATTAATTATCCACTTTGGCAGAGAAAAAAACAAAGACTGAGTATTTCTTAAATTGTGAGTGTTTGGGAAGTGTTAAGAGTCCAAGGGAACCTGGGTGTACTTGTTATGGGTCATTAAAAGCTAGCACGTAGGTATTATATTCACTAAGAAAGGCAAATAGTATGTTAGTCTTTATTGCAAGGGAATTTGAGGACAGAAGTAAAGGTGTCTTGCCACAATTAGGGCCTTGGTGAGACCAAAAATGCTGTTCTCTTATACAGCATAAATGTTGGTTTCCCCATGGATTGGTATTCCTACAAATGGGTTTGATGACTGAAAACCATGCCATTATAGGATCTAGTCCACCAAGTTTATGTCTCAGGGCTTATATACTTATGGCATCTCAGTTTCCTTCATCTGCAGTGATAATTTCAGCTTTCACATCTATGAAACTTCCTATTATTTAACATTTGCAGACATGACAGATAATTCCCATTATCTTCGACCATCACTATTACAAGCATAAAAAGCGCATAGGCCACTAGATCGTTTAGCAAGATTCAGTGATATGGGGCACAATTTCTATTTGTTTGCTATATGATTTGGCACTGTCATGAAGGCCTCAAAGATGAACACTGGAGATAATTTTTGTCATCAATGCTAATGCTTCCTTCATTGGCTTAATGCCCATTTTTTGAGAAACAATTTGGTACCTTCTACTATTTTGGAGGGGCTCAATAGATGTAACTTGTTATTGTTATCACTTTAATCTTACACACTCCATTTGTTTACTTTTGCTGCACTCTGTAATTTGACAATGTATTATTTACCCAATTGTTCAGAATGTTACAGCAATACTGAAATAAGTGGCTGTTTTTCCAAGATACTTTATTTTTTAATGTAAGAAGGCTATTTTCAAACTTGATCCCAAGTAGATTCATTTAATTGTGTAACTAGGATTCATATACTTTTGCAATACATCGTCTCTGACAGTCCTTTTTTTTTGGCAATAATTCACAAAGCAAGTTAAAGTTGGAGTTAATCGTAAAAGGCTGCAAAAATATACCAATGGCACAATAACTTAAGAAGGTGATTTGCAAAATATTTAAATACTTGAAGTCAGCAATCTGCACTTGACTTGATACTAAAGATACCAAGATATTTTGCTGTCATTGAGTGGTGCTCAGAACATTTATAAATCTATTAATTTTATGGCTTTTCAATACAAAAAGCCTTTACCCGCTACTTTAGTGAATTAGGAAGGCAATGCAAAAATGGTGGGTGAGTTCTGAATTGTGGAAATATTAAGTATGGTCATTAAAATTTATAAAATACCCATAGATTTATACCAATTATCATTTCATATGCTAATTACAAAACTGCAGAAATTGAATTTATAAAAATAATGCAAATATAATAAGCAGTACATGTAAGACTTAATTTGCATATGCTCGTGAGAAAAACTTGAGAAACACATTCACACATGCAACATCTGTAAATTACAGTACTCAGCCTTTTACAGGCTCAAAATAAAAAGGTACAGTAAACTGCCAACCCTCTATTAGTCTCCAAATAATTATTCAGTAACAGAAGCCTGTTTCATGGACTAACCCAGTAAAATTTTATGGTGTTACTATGGTATGAATAACTTAAGTTACGGAAAAATACAACTTTCAAACATTCCTCTTAATTGTCACAAAATGCTGTGGTTTCATTAGTGCTGATCAGCAATTTCTAAAGGAATCAGGCAGCAGTGCTCTTTCAACCTTAAATAGAAACACGCTATTTAAAATTTAAGTTGTAAGATACCTTAGTGCAAGATATTATAAATGTCTAAGATCTATATGCAAAAAGGAGTTCAATGTTACAAAATTTTTTGCATTTTGATAATTGCAAGTGCAACTTTAGTCTTTGAGTTCTCTCAGAATTAGTGGACTAAATTATTTACATCTGGTGATTTTTATGAGGTAGTGGATTAGCACATTGCTTTTTCATACGTAGGACTTTGGAATGAATCCAGTCAATACAGATTCCAGCTCTACATGATTTGATATGGAAAATTTGAAATCTGTCTCATATAAATATGGGCAAAATGCAATAAGCGCTTCAATTCAATTAGATTCCTTCTCTCGGTTGATATCCAATGACCCTATTGGAAGGTACTTGCACACAGAAACCAGCTAAGAATAGGGCCAAGTTCAACAGAGATATCACCACTATAGAACAGTCTATGGATACTCATTGAGATTTTCACTAAAGTATAAAAACTTTGAGAATACTAGAATTACAACATTTAAAAGACATCCGGATGGGTACATGAATAGGAAGGGGTTAGAGGGATACGGAAATTGGGACTGGATCACTTTAGGATATCTGGTCGGCATGGATGAGTTGGACTGAAGGGTGTTTCTGTGTTGTATGACTCTACCTAGTTATTGATAATGTACTCATAAAAGATCACAATTAGCTGATCTTCATCAGCCATCAATCTTTCATTGCTAAAAAAAAGTACCATAGCTGGAATTCACAAGATCTTACATTGTGAAATGTGTTTCACAAAGTACTTTCAAAGATTATTTCTACACTGTAATTGTTTGAACTGTTGTCTGAACTTTTAATGTCACTTGATTATGTTGCAGGTACACTTAAAGTAACCACGATCTTCAAATACATTTGTTATTATTTTAGTTTGGGTTTGAGAAATTTATTTTTGGACATATTGCACAGAATTTTTGGAAACTTGATCGAAAAGAATGCTGTATTACATTGTGCAGACTGCAATGCAAAAGATTAAGCAAATTCACTGCATTAGTACTGTCTGTTTTTGCTAGCCGATTTCCTCAATGTTAACCTCTGACAAATTTGTCTACTGTTCATTAACTGTCCCGGAATAGTAGAACAACTCAAACAAGTATCCTACATTTACACAAGCTTTCCACAGGTACAGGTTTGAGCAAAACAATGTTAAGTGTTGATGAATGAAGAGTCATGTTATTGAAGCTTTTTGTCTTTACAAGAGAAATAAACTTCAAATGGAACAACAGCTTATACAGAATGAGGAAAAAAGGATGCTAACAGCTTGAGGCATTGCTATGAAGAATACACCAATTTGAGGTTAACTATACACTTTACTGGTCCAAAAGATGGTATTCGTGAGTTTGTGTGATATACAGTGAGCAATGATCTGATTCAGGTAGCCATCATATGCAGGCTAGTTTGAACGTACCCTATTTCTGCATCAAATTTGCTGAGTGAGCAAATGGCTTGGTCCCAATTAGGCATTATAGTGCATTATAATAGTGCTCCTGTAGTGCAGTGGTGGCAAGAGCACATCTGAGCCAGGAGGCCCAGGTTCACATCACAGCTGCTCCAGAGGTGTGCAATAACATCTCTGACTAGGTTGATTGGATTATCTATAGCACATTATAACTATAGGAATTTGAACAGGTGCTTAAACAGTAAACATAGGCTTGCTGAAGACAGTGATAGAACACTTATTTGCAAATTTCTCAAACAGCATGTCAAGGAGGGAAGTTTGTTGGACTACTTGATTTCAAAGCTAAATTTGAGGTATGGATATTCATACATCCAATTACAAACATTGTAGGACAGCAGGGACCAAGATGATTATTTGTGCAGTTGTACTGTGCTTATTTATTTTCTCATTAAAGAGATTTACACTATTATTTGCATATTTGAATGTAAATAGCTTATGGAATCAAAGAGCTAATTAAAGATTGAAATAACTTCCCAATGCACATAAATAAATTTGATGGGTTTCAAACATTAATTTGCATGAAGAAGTACTTAAAGGAGGAATGTAGCATCTGTTTGCATGTTTTACACTGACTTCTGGTTGCTTACACTAATTTCATTGCTTTGACATATAAAAATAGGATTGGCAAGACAATTTGGTGTTGAGTATTGATTGACAGAGAAACTAGCATATCTTCAGATCCAGATGATCCCAGAGTAGTTGTTGCCACAATAGAAACATGTAAGAAGAGATAGAAAATAAGAGGGTATGGAGCAAAACAAAGTTTTCTGAGATCACAAACATATGCTGAGGTGTTCTATAAGAGTCTATCTTGGCACTACATCCTAAATTCTCTTTACTTAAGAATTCAGAAACACTTGCTGATGATTGCAAATTGTGAAGGACTGCAGGAGGGACTGAATGAGCTACAGGTAGCAAATGAACCAGGGAAAAAAATGTTTTGACTGGGACAGGAAATAAAGGATTGCATTCAAAATGGCAAGCATTTAAATTGAGTACAGGGGCAGAGCACATTGGCATGTAAATACACAGGTTACTTAAGATGGCAACAGAAGTAGAAAAGGCCATAAGATGACAAACAGATGCCTGATTTTTGTAAAGATATGAATTAAAAAGATGAAAATGTCCAAAACCTTAGCTAGTTGGTATATGTTGGACAGTTCTGGGCAGTCCTTTGTAAAGAGCATAAACAGTGCTTCAGAAATTTAAGGAATGACTTTAAAAAGTTGTTGTTTCTACAGGCTGCCATAGACCAAAATTTAAAGACAGTACTGAGGGAGCACTAGAGTCTATTAGATCACATATTAGACTGAAGTCCCATCTACTGTTCAGGAAGAGAAAAAAATCCCCCAACACTGCAAAGAACAAAAGGGACTTCTCCCAGTATCCAAACCAAAATTCATCTTTAGAATAACTAATTATCTCTCTTTCACTCTCTATTGTACATGTGCAAAATGGCAGCTTGATTGCCTGGAAAAAGCAGCTGACTTTGTTTCTAATTTATTGGTTGTAAAGTGCTCTGTGATGAAGAATCTGAAAGGGGTATTTTTGTAGAATCTGTCTTTAGAAGCACAAAAAGTATTAAAGGAGAGATTAGAAAAATATATTTAATGCACAGTATTGAATGGGAGACTTCTTAAGGCAGTCCAGGTGAGCTACGCACAGTGTACATTTGTTGAGCTAATGGAATGCTATCATTTTCACTAACCTATCTCATTTTTTATTACATGGAATTGAAAATCTCACATTTCCTGCATCCATTGTCATCTCCTCCTCACGTGTAGGAAAGACCAGAATTTCTAGACTGTCACTAATGCACTTTAATTCCAACTATATTTTCAATTTCATGCTCCAGTGCCACAATTTATTTATATTTTATTTCAGGAACACCTTCATCGCAAGCACTATACGACTAATGCATTTTAAACAATGTTTAAAAACATTGCACCTTCATTACACGTAATTAAATTCGCAATTTGTTCTTTCACTAAATGAGTTTTCTGCATAAGACATTCTGAAGCCTATGTTTAAGTAATCATTGCAATTGAGAGAACAGAATGTAGCACTGAATGAGAGTATGCAAAATTATTTTTCCACTCATTTTGTTACACAAATAGGTTTTGCTTTGCTAGACTTGTGAAACACAATATTTCTCCATCTGATACGTATGGTCAATGACTTACATATGAACTAAACTGCTCCTATTTTTCCAAACCTAATCTGGTCTTCAGACGAAGGGTGCACAAAGAAAAGTTTGTGGCTAAGAATGCATCCTTATAGGGTTCAGCCTTTCATCAAAGTTAAGCTCTGTATGACTATGACTCTGACTGTTGCAGCATAAATTTTATTGCCAACCATTATCCGATCATTCCCATATCTATTCTGTAGTCATTGCACAAAGCTACCCAAATGATATTTTAAGCTATTTTAGCTATAAGAAGGTTACTGTTATCTGACATGTTCCAGGAATGGAGGGTGCTGGTTAATCAAGTATACCGATAAACAAAGATGCAAGTTAAGATCCACATTTTCATCAAATCAGAAAGCTCCTGAATGATCACACAGTAATGCAGGTGTTAAGATTCCATAACAGATGGAGCATGCAAATCTAGTGAGCTGCACCACAGGAATATGACATTGTAGGACTTGGAAGGCAGAGACCAGAGTGAAGACAGGCCTGCTAATAATGACCACCAATGAGTCTGGCAATTATGAGCAATTGTGAGACAGTTGGAACTGAGAGGGGAATGTAGATTAATGCTGATTTCTGATGGATAAGAACCACCTCCAGTCAAGAAACAGACCCAGTCACAGAATTCTGGTTAATAGAGAAGTCAGTGGCAGATATCAGAAATTTTAATGTGTAGGTACTCAACCTTAATTGACCCATTTTTTGAAACCTGTTCAAATCAGCAATCAACACTGAAAGCAGTAACATTCACTCTAATAGGTAATAATAATCCAGAGACTCAGGCCAACGCTCTGGAAACATGGGTTCAAATCCCATTATGGCTACCGGTAGAATTTAAATGCAGTCAATAAAATCTGAGATCAAAAGCTGGTTTCAGTACTGGTGACCATGACAACTATCACTAGTTGTCTTAAAAATCCATTTGATTTACTACTATTCTTCAGGAAAGAAAATCTGCCATTCTGTCCTAGTCTGACCTTTGTGTGACTCCAGATCTAAAGCAATGTGATTGACTTTCAAATGCCCTCTTAAATGGTCCAACAAGTCAGTCAGTTTTAAGGTCTTTTAGGGATAGGCAACAAACTCTTGCCTGGCCAATGAAGCCCTCATCCCATGATAATGTAATTTTTAAAAATTACGTTTATAGATTGAAAACTAATTTTTTTTCATATATTGATCACACTATTATTTCATATTTATTCATATTTTTCCAGTTTAGATCCTCCATTCTGCACAATTCCTCAGCCTTTGCACATTCTCCCTGTGTATGCGTGGGTTTCCTCCGGGTGCTCCGGTTTCCTCTCTCAGTCCAAAGTTGTGCAGGCTAGGTGGATTGGCCATGCTAAATTGCCCATAGCGTTCAGGGATGTTTAGATTGGGTGGGTTATGAGGGATGAGTCTGGGTGGGATTTTTGGAGGGTCGGTATGGACTTGTTGGGCCAAAGGGCCTGTTTCCACACTGTAGGGATTCTATGATTCAAAGTGTGCAGGTTGGTTAATGTGCTCCCAAGTCTCTCTGCTGGTCACTATGTATGAGCAATCGTGCAAGTGCAATGTGTGATGAGCGCACATTTTCTCTTGTGTTATTTTGCCACCTCTTGTAGCCAGTATGGATGACACAGAATTTATCATGTAGGAAACTGCAAGGGCAAACTTGATGACTAATATTATGTAGCAGAGCACCAAGAATTTGTTTCTTAAAAAGTGCTAAAGGTAGCATCAAAATGTTGAAAGGAATGACGGATTCTTAGGTCATGTTGCTAATGTACTTTTACCTTTCAAAACAGCACCTTCTGATGTCTTTTTTGCCAACTAGGTGCAGATATTAATTGGTGCTAGGTAGAATGGGAATCTAAATGGCAGGCAATTAATCTATGGCCAAAAGGACATTCAGTTACATTTACAAAAGGAAGTTGGTTTTGAATCACATAATTAAATAAGTTACACAACTAGGTTAATGACACCATACTCATGCTTTTAAGAAAATCTTACCACAGATAACTGATGTAAAGCATAAGTTATTATTTTGGAGCTATAAGATATATGTTTATTCCTCTTGCCACCTAGCAATAAGTCTTAGGGAGTTAAAACAAAAAAAAACACTAAACAACCAATACTAAAATGAAGAACATATGTACACTTTCATCTTCAAAGTTTGAACCTAAGCACAAACATCAAAGGCACTAGGTGAAGTAAGTATTGTTAGTGATTAACATACCGACCTGTTATTTGAATCAGAGGGTCCATGAGAGCAACTCCAAGTCTATCTCCTACCATCACTTGTTGCTCCTGAAGATATTGTTTTAGAACAGGATGGATTACTCTCTGGCATAGCACAAGGTGAACTTGGTCACAAACTAGCTGTTTTCCCACCTTCAGCAGCTGTGCAAGTGATTCATCTTCTGGACTGAAACCTGGTGTTACCTCCCAGGTTCCATTTCCACTGTCAACAACATCTCCTGACATGGAGACATTGAATACAGCAATCTTAATGTAACCAAATGTCAATTTTGTAATATCAACTGTTGTTGAAGGAGATGAAAATATCTCTATAAGGATCCCAGAAAGCACACAAGAGTCAGTAACACGTTGTCCCTCAATGGGAACAATCTGCATCTTTCCCAAAGATACATTATCTCCAATCACAGATGGTATTGAATAAAAGAATGCCTTTAACACTAATGAACTGATGTAGTCAGCTTCTTTTGTAGTCAGCATACAAGTAGGCTTATTTATCATCGTACGAACAAGCGAAAGCAAAGTCTTGCTGTTACTAAAATCTATTTGTATTTTGCAGCTACATTCTTCCGAAGTTAGATAGTCAAGGCAAATATTCAGAAGGTGTTTATGGATTTTGACAATGTGACTGCTTAGTATGTTAAGTTGTTTTGCATTTTCAGCCAAATTACAGCAGAGAATTGCTGTAAATAGTCCAGAATCACTAAATCGAGAAACATGATTCAGCACGGAAGCTATTAGTAACTTTATCACAGGATGGGACACAGAAAGATTACGCAAAAGGGCAGAAGACTGTGATGTGGTTAAAACATAGCCTCCTACAGCATTGTGAATTAGTTTTAGTCTACCAAATGGGCCATAACAGGACTCCACAATTCCTCTGAGAGTGGAAAGAGCCTGACAAAGTACATCACTATTTAACTGTCCAGAGCTGCACGAAGATGCTATTTTAGGCACAATTGAGGCCATCATTCAAGTAGAGTGGAAGGTTTGAAAACAGCAAACTTGCAAAGATTAGTTGGTTTATTATTTGCAAAAGGAAACTGAAATTTAACATGCAGCACTTCACCTCTGATCATTTAAAAGCTTGTACATTCCAAATGTGCCAGTCATATTATAGAAGATGAAAATAATTTGAAATTCCCATTGAAATATATTTCAATGTTAAACCACCCAGAAGAGCAAAATTTGGATGCATTGTAGAAGATTCATCTTGCTTGGCATTTCATTATTATTTATCTACATTCTTCTGCTTCAATTCTAAACTTGTTGATTTTTTTACAAATTTCTGCATCAGATATGTTACACTATGGATGCCAAGTAAGGACAGTCCTGCCACCAGAAGCCAATTTTTGCGTAGCCATCTTTTATTTCTCATTCTTCTGTAAGGATGCGACAACGAAATATTTGCATTCCAATTTATTATCTGTAAATAGAAAATATGGACAGTTAAATTGTGCTTTGACAAAATTAAGTTTTCAAATCATAGAATCTACATCATTGTGAAGACCATGTAGTCTATCATGCCGCTGGTTCTGAAACAGTTTAGTCCTAAACTTCAGCCTGGACTCACCCATATACCTGCAAATTTGTCCTTTTCAAGTACATGTCCAATTGACTTTAAAAAAATCACTATGAAATCTGATTCCACAAATCTTTCAACTGAAGCCTATCCAGAAATTTGTAAAGCTTTTTTTTTTAAAAAGAGTTTCTTAGTATTTATTTTCCCCATTTTTAAAGATCCTGAGGAGTCTGGACAGGATGAATTATAGAAGAATCAAGAACTTGAGGTCACTGTGTAAAAATCAGGAGTCATCCATTTAAAATGGAAACGAGGTGAAATATTTTCTTTCAGAGTTGTGAGATTTTGCAACTCTCTTCCTGAAAAGGAGGTGGTAGTAGAAGCTGTCCTTACATATTTTTTATAGAGTCATACAGCATGGAAACAGGCCCTTCGGCACAACTCATTCATGGTGACCAGGTTTCCTACGCTGAGCGAGTTCCATTTGCTCGCGTTTGGCCCATTTCCCTCTAAACTTTTCAGATCCAAGTACCTGTCTAAATGTCTTTTAAATGTTGTAACTGTACCCACTCTATCACTATCTCTGGCAGCTCATTCCATATCCACCACCCTCTGTGTGAAGAAGTTGCCCCTCAGATCCATTTTAAATCTTTCCCCTCTCACCTTAAATTTATGCCCTCTAATTTTGGACTCCCCTCTCCTCCTCTGGAGAAAAGACCTCAGCTATTCATCTTATCTATGCCTCTTATGATTTTATAAAACTCTTTCAGGTCATCTCCTCAGTCTCACACTTGAGAGAAAAAATTTCCAGCGTCTCCTTATAACTCAAAACTTCCAAGCTTGGTAACATCCTTGTAAATTTTTTTTTTGCATCTTTTCTAGCTGCTATATGCAGTACTTCAAATGTGACCTTATCAATGTCTTGTATAGCTGTAACATGAAATCCCAACTCCTGTACTCAACACTTTGATTAATGAAAGCAAGTGTGCCAAATGCCTTCTTCACCACCATTTACCTGTGACACCACTCTTAATGAACTATGTACCTGCATCCCTAGATTTCTGTTCATTTAAGGCAGATTTGTACTGATTCTTGTTAAGCAGAGGGGCGAAATGTTTTCAGGGTTAGATGAGAATGCAGATTTGAGGCTAAAATCCGATCAGTCATGATTTTATTGAATGGTGGGGCAGGCTCGAAGGTCTACATAGTTTACGTCCTTGTTTGTACATTTTTAAAGCCAAGCATTCCATTTAATTTCTTAACCACCTTCTAAATTTGCCCTGGCACTTCAAAGATTTAAGAACTTGTGCTGCAGATTCACAAGTTTATACATCCTCCTCAAAATAGCACCAAGCGTATGATAATGTCTTTCCATGTTAGTGCTCCCAAAGTTTAATCACTTCAAATCCATCCACAATTAAATTGCACCATCCATTTTGCAGTTTATTTTCTCACTTATGTCCCCTTCTACTCCTGAAACCTACCATTATTATGCTCAATTATCACATTATCAAGATATGAATTGGTTCCCAATTTTGGAATTGTATTCAAATCTAGGTCATTTCAATAATAAGAGTAATAATTTTGCTGGACTTCAGTACATCATACTAAGTTCACACATATACCTATCGGATTACCATCAATGACATACCTTTGTTTAAATATCCCAGAAATGACAACAAATCCTACTTTTGTTTTATAAATTTGCAAACAATTGCAGCTTGTTGTGTTAACTGAGTTTGATAAAAAGTGTCAAATATGTACTCTTTCTATTTAAACCCCTCTGCCTTTTTGTTGAGATACCCACCCAAAAGATAGTCACCATGTCCTCTGATCAGTTCAAGGAAAGCATGAAAGACACCTGGAACTGTGCACATACTCTCCCAAATCCATAATTAAAACTAAAAGGGATATTTGAATCTCAAAAACACACAGTTGTTTGCTTGTATTGCTACAGAATAGATGAGCTCTTGCAAACAAGTTATAACCTAGATTTGTATATTTTTGCACACTTTTCAACCATCATAATTTGAGGTGATTTACCTACTCTTGACATAATTTATAAAGGGAGTATGGCTTACCCAGCAAATCGAATTACTAATTTCCCTTTGGTCGGCTTTCCTTTTGGACGATACTTGTCAAAATTTCTGGCTGTGGAATATAGTCTTGGTTTCTGTTCTTGAAGGTTTCACTAGCCTTCATATTGTACCATCCCCAATGAATCAGTGTAAGACTTGTTCCCATAACAATTAAAACTCTGTAGTTTTTCCAGACAGTTTTGAGACTCATGTCTGATTTAAACAATCACCTGCAAATACAATAACATTCAGTCAGTGAAATATGAATGTCATACCATTTAAATAAGGTCAAAAGGACTGAAGAGTCAGGACAACAATGTTGGAGATTAGACATAGGGGGAAGCAAAGGCATGTAGACAGTTGAAAATTAAGATTTTAAAATTAATGAAGTCAGAGATTAGAGTCAATTGCTGCAGAGAATTGGTGTTAGGATGTGGGCTATCAATCTAAAGGAAAGTTAGACCTTAGGACAAGTCAGGAATTAGAGAGATCAAATAATAAACCCAATCTTGAGTCAATGTGTTTGTGACTCATTTCAGAGATGAACAAAACACTAAGGTTGAATAGGGAATTGTAATAAAAAAAAGTATATAGCTAGGTAAGGAAAGGCTTAGCAACCTCAAACAAAAATGGAAAAAGCTAGAGAAACTCAGCAGCAACAAAAACAAAGTTGCTGGAAAAGCTCAGCAGGTCTGGCAGCATCTGTGGAGGAGAAAACAGAGTTAACGTTTCGGGTCCAGTGACCCTTCCTTAGAACTGATGGCAGCTGGGAAAACGTCAGTTTATATGCAGAAGATAACGGAGGTGGGTGGGGTAGAAAGTAAACGATAGGATAGAGCCCAAAGACAGAGAAAGACAAGGTGTAGAGCTGAATGAACACAGCAGGCCAAGCAGCATCATAGGAGCAGGAAGGCTGACGTTTCGGGCCTAGACCCTTCATCCAGCTCTACACTTTGTTATCTCAGATTCTCCAGCATCTGCAGTTCCTACTATCTCTGAGAGAGAAAGACAGTTGGACAGACAAAGGAGCTGCTAACGATCAGGCTGGGGGGTGAATAGTTGTTAATGGGGACTGTTAGTGACTAACAACAGGGGGTGTGTAGTGGCAGGCTATGTGGTAACAAGGCCTGGTGTTTGGGGTGGGGGGCTGGGACATGGGAGAGTTTAGGCTGTAAAATTATTGAACTTAATATTGAGTCCGGAGGGCTGTAGGGTCCCCAAGCGGAAAATGAGGTGTTGTTCCTCCAGCTTGCACTGGGCTTCACTGGAACATTGTAGCAAGCCAGAGACAGGGATGTTGGCCAGGGAGCAAGGTGGTGCATTGAAGTGGCAGGCAACAGGTAGTTCAGGGTCTTTTTTGCGAGCAGAACGTAGATGTTCTGCAAAGCGGTCGCCAAGTCTACGCTTCGTTTCCCCAATGTAGAGGAGACCACATTGTGAGCAGCGAATGCAGTAGACTAGATTCTTAGAAGTGCAGGTGAAGTGTTGCTTCACCTGGAAGGTATGTTTGGGCCTTTGGATACTGGGGAGGGAGGAGGTAAATGCGCAGGTATTGCACCTTCGCCGGTTACAGGGGAAGGTGCCGTAGGGCTGTGGGGAGGTGTTGGGGGTGAAGAAAGTATGGACCAGGGTGTCCCGGAGGGAACGGTCCCTGCAGAAGGCGGACAAGGGAGGGAAGGGGAATATGTGTCCGGTGGTGGCTTCTTGCTGGAGGTGGTGGAAATGGCATCTGAGAAACTCAGCAGGTCTGGCAGCATCTGTGGAGAGAAACTAGAGCCAATGTTCCAGGTGTAGTGAGTCTTCAGCAACTTCAGTAAAAACTGAAAGAATTGTGGACTCTGTAAACCAAAAATTAGAAATTGCTGGGAAAGCTCAACAGGTCTGGCAGCATCTGCTGACAGAAGTCAGAAATAACGTTTCGGGTCAAGTGAACCTTCCTCAGAACTGGGAACTTCCTTCGTTGCTTCAACAATCTCAGTCTGGTAAACACCTTGGCAAAACAA